GAGAGAGAGAGAGAGAGAGAGAGAGAGAGAGAGAGAGAGAGAGAGAGAGAGAGAGAGAGAGAGAGAGAGAGAGAGAGAGAGAGAGAGAGGAGATACTGAGATCCGAAAGAGGACCTTCGGCGTTGCAGCCGTGCACTCACACCAAAATATAAAGATCCGCAATCAATAAAGGCGCCTTCGCCGTGAATTTCCAGTATGGCCCCAGGCCAATCACTCACTCAACTTCAATCACCGATCCTTATACCCGCACTGACGATCCCGACCGTCGCGTGCTAACTTCGGCCACTGCGATCATCACCCCGCCAACGCAAGTTGGACGCAGTTCGCCCAGATCCCACAGTCCGTCGTAGCGATCAAGCGCGCAACCGGCTAGCCTATCGTCAGCCCGACAGGACTTTTTGACTCACACCAAACACTTCACCTAGCCACTGCTTCCCGGAAGCGGGCTTGGGAGTCGAGAACGTAAGAGAGTTTTGCGGACGCGCTTGCGAAATTTATAGTTGCGAGAAGGAGGATAAGGTGGGGAGAAGGCAGGGGGAAAGTCGAGGTGTAAGAGGAGAAGCAGGAGGAGGAGACTTAGCGGGGAGCGCGCTGTGGAAGCCATGCTGATCCTTCAGAACCCAATGGTCGGCCAATCAGATTCGTCGCGCAATAGGAAGATCCTCTTGTTCAACGCGTCTGATTGGTGAGCAGGGGTGACCGGAGGATCAACCGGGCTTCGTGAGTCAAGGTTGATGAGCGGGAAGAGACGAAGCGCGAAAAGCAGCGCGAGACGGGTCCAAGATTCAGACGATCAAGAAAGGGAAGCAGGCGCGCAAAAAGCAGAGAGGGAAAAACAGTTGCGATAGGAGAAGGAGAAGAGGGGGGGGTGGAAGGGAGAGGGGAGAGTGCGGGGGAAGGATGGCGCGGGAAATAAGGAGGAGGATGCTCGCATGCGCGGTGCCGACAGCAAGAGAAAAAGGCACCGAAACAGTTACGGCTTGCCTATATCCTACACCAATTCAAAAATTGAAATCACCATATCGGCGCATGAAAGTCAACGCGGGAAAAGAAAGTCCTATGCCTATCCGTATTCTCGCAAAATTCCTAGAGTTTCCTCCGACGTGACCAAGAACATTCATGCAAGGAAAAAGCTACGTCGGGTTCCGCTTATTTCGTAATTCCTAACTGTCGAGCCCGATTCCCAGTGCGCTCGCTAAGGCGCGTGAAATTTCCCGTGCATTTCCCGAATTACAAAAAGCAGAATTCCAAGAATCAATAGAACTTCCGAAAAATGGGGGCCCAAACAAGGCGCCTGAAATCAAGAAAAGCGACGAGGGTTCTGTGGGGTCGGTATGATACACCAATGGGTATTGGGTCAAGGGGGTACGAAAGATAGCACGGGGTCGGGAAATGGTTCGTCACACACCCGACACATTTTTGTTGTTTTCACATTTGGAGAGTGGTGTGGCGACACCCTGAACTTACCTAGGGCCGATGATAATACCCTAAGGCCATCACCCTTAAAGAAATAAAAAAAGAAAGGGATAGTTTGCAAAATACCCCCATAAGTTGAGATATTTGCCAAAATGCCCCAGAAAGATGCGAGTAGAGCGGAATGCCCTTTTGGGCCGAAATCTTTGTGTTGTGCCGCTGTCAGGTGGGTTGCAACTTTGCAATCTGGACCTCCCCGTTTGGGCACCTTTTGCAATAGCGCCTAGCAAAAGTTGGGGAGTACTGGGGCATTTTGCAAAGGCAGACGTGCCCGGTAGGGGTATATTGCAAAGATGGGGGTCCAACAGAAGCTAGGGATATTTCACAAAATATCAGAGGGGTACTCCTCTCTACCCACATCTTTTAGGGGCATTTTGGCATATATCTCAACTTATGGAGGTATTTTGCATATTATCTCAAAAAGAAAAGAAAAAATAAAAGTAAGGCCATAATCACACTGTCGGTAGCACTCTCGTAGATGAATCGAGCTGCAATTACGTCCTAAGCTGGATGAATCTGACGGCAATGGAGTCCAAAGCTTAGCAGGAAAAGCCCTGGTGTGAGTATCCCTTGAGTGAATTGATTTGATTGTGTGTATTCTATCGCTAGCTGATGGTGGTTTGGCTTCGGCCGAAGCCCTGACGGAAGCTTGGCGCCCGCCACCTAGAGATATGCCATTGGTCCCCCCGAGTGGCGTTGGGCAGAGACTGCTGATGTTCATAGGGGGAGGGGACCAGAGGGGAGGCACAGTGACTGGCCCATCGAAGAAGCTCGGTCCTGATGCTACGGGCTGACCCCTGGCCGGTATCGCCCACCTCCTGTAGCAGGTATCGCACCTGCTGGTGGTTGCAGCTCCCGCATGTTCCCTCGTTGGAGGCTTGAGCACGGATGTGGCTGCTACGGGGTTCCCCGTAGTGCTATAATGACAATGAAAAAAAAAGGCCTGAAAGGCCGTCCTGTCCAGATTTGACAGGTAATTGAATTGGTTGGGCTTCAAAAATAAAAAAAGAAGCGCACGCTTAGTACTTCCCTCTGCTCGATCACGCAGTAGCAGGAGCACGTCGACCGAGAGGGAAAGCGGAGCGGGGGCACGGAGCAGGGGAAGCGCGCATCACCGTCGTCTCCATAGCAGACAAGGGGCCTCGCCCTACCATTCACCAAATGTGAAAAATGAGAACGAATCCGCAAGAACATGGACACATACACAGGCATTCTTTTTGTCATTTGTGCATTTGGTGAGCGGTGCCGCGAGGCCCAAGGTCACTCGACAGCGGCCGAAGCCGGGCCTGGGCATCCTGCATAACGCCATCTTCACACCGTGCAAGTTCGCCAGCATGCTTGTCCGCTGACTGAAGCAGCTGCCATTACTGTGCGACGTCCAGCGAGATATATACACACACTCAACAACAAATAACTCCATCGCTCGATCACCCGAGCGCGCGCGCGCGAGAGAGAGAGAGAGAGAGAGAGGGGTGGTACAGTGGAATGACCTGTTCGGAGTGGGGGACTTTTTGGTGAAGAACATGTTGCCTGACGTGGAATCGGCTCACGGGGCCTCGAACTCTAATACGCTCGCGGCATCAGCGATGGTGATGGCAGGGGTCACGTTCTCCGCTATTCTATTCGTTCGCTTGCTGACATGGCGCTCCTCCTCCTCCTCCTCCTCCTCCTCTTCTTCTTCTTCTTCTTCTTCTTCCGCCGGATGTGGGCGCAGTTTGGGGTCGATGCTTGGGCCTCCATCACCCTGGTACAACATCATGGGAAATATCCTAGAGATGGGTGCTCATCCCGACAAGCCGTACCCTCTCGTTTTCATGGACTGGGTTCGCACGTACGGGGGTGTCTTCAAGTTCCGTCTCATTGGGACCACCATGGTGGCCGTGTCAGACCCTGACCTGGTGAAGCAGCTATGTCTGCGATCCTTCATCACTTTCCACGACAGATCTGAACGTTTTTTGTTCAATTTCGACCCGAACGGCTTCTTTGCCAGCAGGTGAGCTCAGCGTGTGTGTGTGATTGGGCAGTATCTTCTTTTTTTTTTTTTTTTTTTTTTTTTTTTTTTTTTTTTTTTAATGCCCTCTGCGACAGATAGGAGTGATGATACAGGCATGCATGCACTCCTCTATCCATCCCTCTGAAGGGTGGCTCAAGTCTGTTGGTGGGCAGCATCACCTGGTGGAAAGCGGGTGCAGCATCCCCCAAAAAAACAGATATCATGTATACATTAAGCATGTTTGAGGGCAGTGACGCCTCTTCCGACCATGATGATGCATGATGATGCACCCCGCCAGCTCTCTCTGAAGAAACAAGCTACCCTACCCTTCCCTTCAGAAAACAGAGCATAAATTTGAAGATCTCTGATCACACCCCCTCTCAGTGGTTTAGAGTATAAATTTGTGATCTGGATCACAACCCCTCCTCTCTGCGAAACCCCTGAAGCTCTTCCAGAGCAAGTTGTGAAGGAGGAAAGGGGTCCGCAAAACACAGCTTGGAGATCTAAGGGAAGATCCTGGCTACAACGCGGGAAGCAGTCCCCTCTTTTTTTTTTTTTTTTTTTTTTTTAAAGCCGACGCGAACCAGTCCCTGAAGCTGAGATGGAAGGAGCAAGGTCCTCTCAAGAGGAGCTTCCATCTGATTGGGCAGTATCCTTCTTCTTGTGTTCACGGATTTCTGCAATTCACTCTCGATTTATGGGTGTCATCCTTGAGTATCGCTTTTTTATTTTTTTTAATAAAAATTTGGACCATTTCTCGATTTATGTGTGTCATCCTTGCGCAGGGGCCATGCTAATCTTCTCTGTATCGTTCCAATTTTAGCGGATGTCCCTTGTTTTATTGTTTTGCCTTTTTTTTTGCCTAACTAATCTATATTCTTCTCCCTCTCTGGCTGGTGTTCCCCCTTCATATATATAAAAGTAGCGAGAGGATGAGATCCATGAGGAGAAAAAAACAGACCTAGAGAGATTGAGAGATATTCTTCTCTGTCTCTGTCTCTCTCTCTCTCTCTCTCTCTCTCTCTCTCTCTCTCTCTCTCTATATATATATATATATATATATATATATATATTGTCACACTGTAAATCAGAGAGAAGGCCAAAAAAAGCAGGAGGAAAGGAAAAGAAGGAAGGAAGGAAAGCCCCACCTGTTATATATATATATGCTGTGCCTCTAGTGCCAGCGGCGTGTCTGGAGTGTATTTTTTGGCTGTGACAGACCTTTCTTTGTTTCGTGGATGTTTTGCTGGCTTGTGATGGGGTGT